AATTGTTGCAAAGCAGACAAATTCCAGTTAAAACATAAAGCAGTCTCCCATACTGAAAATTCATATCTATTATGATATATATAGGTTATCACGCGAGTGTGTTTTGGGATGGTTAATATCCTGCATTATGAATAAACATTGTATTTAGCGAGCCTTGGCGAGCTAAATACATAGTGTTTATTCATGATGCAGGATATTAACCATCCCAAAACACACGAGTGTGATAACCTTTTTATCATACAATGTCATTCTTACTTTATAATTTAAAAAAATGCGATTTAATTTGCCACAAATCATGAACCTAAACTTCGTGGAATGTATCCACATATCTATGATGTCACAAATATGTGCGTAGTAATACTTGACGTCACAAGCTCGGTGACGCAAATTTTCTACTGATCACGTCATCTAGTTCCTGTCAGTTGTTATGTTAAAGTACGTATTGTTGTCAACAAATCTTAGCTTACGTTTGAAAAATAACAACAAACTCGCGTGGAACTTCAGAAACCTTGAGTTAACCTTTTGAACAACAAATACACTTTAATATTCTCGTGACATTGTGCATCTGGATTCCTAATGCCGTTCTCTCGCTGACACTGACACGAGGTTGATGTTGGTATCTTCGTAAACCTATGAATTTCTATTTTCGCTTTGTAATCTACTCCATCTATCATAACCAGACATGAATTTTCTGGGATCAAAGCACTGATACAGTACCGTAACCACGGCCGTCAATCCGGACAAGACCGCGAACCATTGACGCCATTGTTTGCTTTACACTGTGAAAGTAGTACCTAAAATTTGCATATGACCTCTCTAATTTGCATCGATATCCGTATATGGCCCCAACTGATACCGAAAATATCTGTTGGCTTTATCCTGCCGAGAACACTATCCATTGTATGATAAATATGTATATATACATTAGTGGTGGTCCGATTATTTGAAATAATTGAAAATTGGTTGCAATGACAAAACAACCAAGCAATCGATCATGTTTTCTCATAATCGAACACAAACAATTTTGGACCACTTGTTTGCAATAACAATATTTTTCAAAAGGTTGATTTTGTCTCGACATTGCATAAGCACTACAAGCTCGTTCCAAGTCATGATTAAGTTTATCTTAACAACTCCAGGAAATGTATGTTCCTAACACACTAGTCATCCTTTAAAGATGTGAAATTTGCAAATGCATTTTGTGCAATTTGCGAAAAGAACCGAGAGAACTACATGTTTTTTTTTTATTTTTTGTGCATTAACAAACATAACCAGGAAAATTTGATAAATGACTCTAACCAATTATTTTCGATGATTGATCGATCGGTTGTAATGAACCAATAATCAATTATAATATTTACACCAATTCCCAACACTAATATACATACATATATGACTGGTAGTAGTTGTCGTAAATGAAGCCTGATACCATCAAACACATATCATCTCATCCCACTGTCAGTAGCTCCTTGGGCTTTCAGTCAGGTGAACTGACAAAGCCTGGCCTTATCACATATAATCTCCTTAGGTGGCTTTACCCACACAGACTGGCAACCAAATATGGACACTCAGCTGACATATAAACTCATTTCAGCCTTTGGCCAAAGTGAGTGAGATGAGAATATTCTGTACAACTTAATACTGTTTCAAAATAAAACATCACAGTATCCATGAAATATTCAATGTTAAGAATATCAATATAATATTTTGAAATTCATTATCAAAGATTATTGAAGAAAAATCCGAAATCAAAATATTGCAAACTATGAAGAGAGGTAACTCATTCAGCAAGGCTACAAGCTTGTTTAATACTACAAAAGCAAGAAGTGTTTCACAGCACAAGAACATCAAGCCCAACACCATGGCATAGAAAGAGAATGTCAATCAATCATACAAGAGACAACAAAAAGTGACAAGTGAATACTGACAGTTACAGGTTATTGATTCCTTATGGTTCTTGAAAGTAACATTAGAATATTTCCAATAATTCTATTGGAGATACTGCATTTTGTTTAAAAAGAGGACATAAAAGAAAAGTGACAGGGGCTTTCTCAATGGATCACTCAAGCAATAAATAAGACAAAACATTGGGAGAAACTCAAACCAATATCACTATTGTCCGATAAAGACATTTGAATTTAAGCATGGTTGAAATGACTCGCTGATACTGGAATTAAGCATGGGAACAATTAAGAGATCTTGATGGACAGGAGAGATAGTTCTATGATTTTGAATGTCTGTGTTATTGTGATGAATGCTTCAGTGTAAATATTAGCACTGTTATAAAAAAAGTGATGTACATAGGGGTTGGCGATAATACCGGTTAACCGGTTTATTGCAATTCGAACTTCACAATACGATATATTGCGGTACACTGCTCAAACAGGTCACCCTGATACGATCAGCAATTTTCGTGACTATGGTCAGTAATTTTCATGATGTAGTCAAAAATACTAATAACATTTGTATTCCCTCGATATTATTATACATCAATAGTTTTGAGTGTTTATTGGTCATATAATTACAATTGTGTAACTTTTAAACAATATAAGTAAAAATAAATTAAATAGATTTGTACCGGCACTCGTAGGGATAAACAAATCAAAATGGCGAACACTGCTGCAGACGCTTTTTCTCGAGTTCCAAACTTTAGAGCGAAGCCTTCAATTTGGAAACATTTTCATTTGATCTTTCGTAGAATCACATCTGAGTCCTGACAGCGGCCAGTGGCATTGTTTCAAAAAAAAAGGAAACTGTAATTTCATTACCTTAACCCATTTGTTACACTTTCACAATATATTGCAATACGCCAACACATATCACAATATATCCCAATATGAAAGTTTTGACAATACCCAACCTTAGATGTACAGAGACATGAAGTAGAAAGGTTATGTACATATGGATAAGTGATGATTATGAGAAATTATGATTAATCTCCTCAATAAAGAAGTTATATATCCAAGGAAGTATCTCTTCACTGTAACCTTGACCTTTAACATTGGTAATTTACAACCTTTTTCAATCTTTGCAATAATAAAAGGATGCAATCTCCAAATCTGAGAGCACTAGCATAAATCCAAAGTATTTCTGGCTATGACCCAGGGGATGATGACCTTTACAGGGCCTATCAATGATCCCCAAAATATATTCTCTGGGTTATGACGAGATAAACAAGATACAATATTCCTGATATATCCTTGCACAAGTGTGGATCCTATAAAGGAGCTATGAAAGTGAAAAATAAAAACAAAACAAAAAAACAACTGGAGTTTGCAGGATGTCCATGTCTAGTATGATTCCAAAACAAAGGATAGAGGAACGGCTGTCAAATGGAAAACAAGGCCTCAAAGAACACCTACAAACTGGCTTAAAGAGCATTGTTCTTGAAGGCTTCTACAGGGTTTGTGCTATGCACAGTTCTACCACACACAGGGATACTGAGTATATGATGTCATGTAATCTGGAAACATTATTTACAAGGCCACAGTCATTAAGTTTGGTGTATTAATCCTTCGAAGAAGTTATTACCAGTTTTCTTTTTCAAGCGCAACTGATACAATCAATATGATAAATATGGGGAATGTAGTATCAGTATACTTGATGATGATGAAAAATTGGTATAAGAGTAATGGCAAAAGTGATAGTTGAGCTCAAATTTTTTTCCAAACACCAAAGCTCTAATGTAATTATTTCCAGCTGTGCAGTGCGCCTAACATGAACTCCTTTATGTTCAGGTAATGCTGTGTCACTTTTTAATGCAAGCATTAAATTTTCACATTTCTCACATTGATTTATCATTGCCAGTGCTAAGATGCACATAATATAGAAGACAAAACAATACTAATACAAATAAACAAAAAAAAGAAACTGTGCACACAGGAAATGCCTTCAGAATTGGAATACAACACAGCAAAGTCGAAATGATGTAGACACTTTAGAAGCTGAAGTATCGGGACCACAAGAAACTGTCAAAAGAACATGAACAATATCCGTAACGATGATGTCAGAAGTTCAAAATCGAGTAGGGGGTCACACGACAAAGTCACAAAGTCAATAACGGGTATGACCACCACATGCGTGAAGCACAGCAGTGCATCGACAACGCATAGAGGCTAGCAAATGAGCATTGAAGGCCTGGGGAATGGCCGGGGGCCTGGTCACTGCTGTCTGGAACCTGTATCTGAGATGAGTCACCCGAATCCACCTGTCCTGTCTTGGCGTCGTTACGTCGGGAACGCCCATAACGCCTGACCCATGCATATATATCGTGTTACGATGGCATTGGAAATGTGCTGCCACCTGTTGTTGGCTCATTCCTGCTCGAACCATTCCAATGGCTTCATGATGTTGAGCAGATGTTAATCTTGGCATGATGTGCATGTGACTTCTCATGAGGATTTGTGAACGTTTGAATGACCAAAGATCAAGCTTTCGACAGTGACAGCAATTTCCGAGTTTCACATGATGTGTGCAGCTGTACGGGCTGCACGTGTGCAGTAACATATTGCAAGGCCATAGGCCACCGTCAATGATGTCACGTCGCCTGGCACGTGCATAAGCATTTGATTGTCTCCAATACTTGCTATGTTCACAAATGTATTTATGTATAAATACGCTGTGTGCCTATATTTATATTTTCTGTGTGCACAGTTTCTTTATGTGGCCAGTATATTATGCTAACCCAATCGACACAAGCATGAAAAATACTTTCATTCCTTGACCAACCATCTCCAAGAACTGTTTGATTGGCATTTTAGAAGCTGGTATGTGACAGGAAAGGCAGGATATTTTATGATTGACTACTTATTTATTCTATCATGATATGATATTTTGGAATTGATCCTTATACCACTGTCATAGAAGAGTGACTTGTTGGACAACAGCATCAGAAAGAAATTATCATCCACAAAATACCTTGCCTTTACTGCAACCATTGCCAAGTTACACAAGAAGCAGTGAGAAGCACAGCAAACAAACGAACAACAGAACCGTCTTACCTGTGTCAAAATTGACAGCAAAGTCACCATATTTGTCTCCCCCACTGATGGAATATATTATTTTGTGATTCTGTGGACTGAGGGCCTGGATGTTGATGACAGGAGTGTGCACGGCGATTTTCTCAAACACACTCACGTTGTACACTTGCTTATCAAAAACAGGACTGTTGCGATCAACTACATGTATTGAGACAATTGCTTCACATCTCTGGGGCTTGTGACCTGTATGGAGAGTAAGTAGAAAATATCAGGAACATGACATCAGTTTTACAAGAAAACATGAACAATAATGATACATCATGCTGACCACAATGGGTGTAGTTCAAAAGCTAAAAAATAGCAGTGTAACTTTGCCAGAAGTATTTCTTCAGTTGTAAGAAGCATTGTTATTGGATGAAGATTGGTTTCTAATGATGTTTTTTGCCACAGTCTGCAATATGGATCATGACTGGTCAAAACAAAGAATGTGACCTAAGGCAGCCAATCATATTACAGCAATGGACACAGTCATAATATCTGATAACGTTTCGAATAATAATGTAATTTTTAGAGTAAAATTGATATTTTATACTTATCCTGACTCATGCTCTTTTGCTTGTCTTCTTCTTCTTGCGAACATAGTGGAACACTTGTATCTCCCTAATTGAAGCTCCCTTCAAAGTAAAATCACTAATTAGTACTCACCACGAGTTACCTCCCTTACACAAGCTCGGGAACGAGGGCGCCACCTCCACCCATGTGCCTCACTCTCTCCTCATATGCTGAGCCCAACATTTGAATTTACAGGGAAATCCAAAGTGTTATGTGGGGAGGATGGGAGGGCTGACCTCATGAGTCAGGATAAGTATAAAATATCAATTTTACTCTACAAATTACATATTTTTCCTTATCCTGACTCATGCTCTTTTGCTTGTAATATCCGACGGAACGGAGGTGGGAATATATAATACTTTGGATTTTTTATAATTAGTGATTTGAACTGTGATGATTGTAATAATCCTATGGGAACTTCATAAAGGCACTGAACTGATGAATTCCTGCTGCTAACTTATCAGCTGCCATATAAAGGTTATTACAATGTACTTATTATGATAAAGTATATATAACATTAATACAATGCTTAAGACTAATAGACTTAAGCTTGTTAATATGCTAGTATAAACTCCTTAGAGTTTGTTAGCTAAAATACTTTAAGATATAAACATAGCACTAAGCTTAAGATATGATTAAACTTAAGCTAATTATATAATAACAAACTCTTTAGAGTTTGTTAGTTAAAATATTTATATGATATAGACATAGTGCTGAGCTTAAGATATGAATAAGCTTTAGCTACATATATAATAGCAAAACTCTGTAGAGTTTGTTAGCTAATATATTTTTACAATATGAGTATAGTACTGTGCTTAAAGGTCACATGCAACCAAAAAATCAAACATAATTAAAACACAATTATCACTTCTTCATGACATATAATATGCATAGCTGATTATGAAAAAACAAATAAACACAATTATATGCGTATAATCGCAAATCAAAAGTGCAATATTTTGTACTTGGGTTTACCTCCCTCGAAACGAAGCAGCCGGGATACCGAACCCAGTCAGAGCGGGTGGGCGTGCACTCAAGTGTAACGGCTGGTTCATTAGCAGATGCCGCCTTCAGGCCTCATATTGTGTGTGTGTATAGAGATGATGGGTTTTGTAAATACATGCTCATTTTTTGTGTATAACATTTTGCAATCAACAGACATCATAACATGTCATGTGTTCAAGTATCACACCTGCCTGTCTGTGTAATTACATAATGTGACAGAGACCGAACTCGGGCCATAAATCAATTATAGCCTGATTGGTGTTAAGTTCGAATTGCATGTGGTCAGTGATTGCAGTTGTGTATTGAATATTTTCATTAGCAGACAGGCAGGCAGACACACAGGTGTCAATAAAACAAGACATTGAGTTTTGTCTGAGACAGCGACATATCTATATCACAGTTAGAAACTGAGTCAACTCTTAATAATGACATTGCTTTTAAGTATCGAACTGAGAAAGCGTCTCGGTAAGAAGAACGTGTGGTGAAATAGACAAATGAAATTATATAAACAGTTAATTTACTGTCATAACATATAAAAAGTTCACGCCTGTGAGATATCAACAAAACATTAGAAAAATAGCTCACACCAAGGCCTTCACCGAGTATTCACCCGACAACCCGGTTCCAAGCTGCGCGAACCTATTTCACTGCGCATGTGCTATGAGCGCAGCCCAGCTGTTGAAACCCGTATTCCCCAGAAAAGTCTGGGAAAATTAGTGAAACGCTTGAACTCTCGATTTCAAGCGCTTTTCATCGCTATTTTTCAACTTTATAAGTTGAATTTGCATTTTTGACTATTTGTTTCGCTATGTCCATACCGAAAGGTATCAGAATCTGCAAAGTTGTGTTTTACGTTGCATGTGACCTTTAAGATATAATTAACTTAAGCTACATATACAATAGCCAAAAACTCTGTAGAGTTTATTAGCTAATAGATTTATAATGTAACCATATTACTAAGCTTAAGATATGATTAGACTTAAGCTAAATGTATATAGCAAAAAACTCCTTAGAGTTTATTAACTAATATACTTTTATGTTATAAACATAGTACTGAGCTTAAGATATGATTAAACTTAAGCTATATATATAATAGCAAAACTCTCGTGAGAGTTTGTTAGCTAATACATTTTATAATGTAACCATACTGCTTAAGATATGATGAAACTTAAGCTAATTATATAATAGCAAAACCCCTTTAGAGTTTGTTAGCTAAAATATTTATATGATTTAAACCTAGTATTGAGCTTAAGATATGAAGTAAACCTTAAGCTAAATATATAATAGCAAAAAACCTTTTAGAGTTTTGATAGCTAATATACTTATATGGTATCGACATAGTATTGAGCTTAAGATATGAAGAAAACCTTTAAGCCACATATATATAGCAAAACTCCTTAGAGTTTGTTAGCTAATACATGATATAATGTAACCATAAAGCTTAAAATATGATGAAACTTAAGCCCAATATATAATAGCAAAAACTCTTTTAGAGTTTTGATAGCTAATATACCTATATGTTATAAACATAGTACTGCGCTTAAGATATGAATAAGCTTAAGTTACATTTATAATAGCAAAAAACTCCGTAGAGTTTGTTAGCTAATACATGTTATAATGTAACCATATTGCTTAAGATATGATGAAACTTAAGCCAAATAGCAAAAACTCTTTAGAGTTTGTTAGCTAATATACTTATATGATATAAACATAGTACTGAGCTTAAGATATGAATAAACTTAAGCTACCTATATAACAGCAAAACTCCGTAGAGTTTGTTAGCTAATATATTTTTGCAATATGAGTATAGTACTATGCTTAAAATATAATTACTTAAGCTACGTATATAAAAGCCAAAAACTATGTAGAGTTTGTTAGCTAATGTATTTATCATGTAACCACTGTGATGATAAAAAAGAGCTTAAGCAAATTATATATAGCATGCAGCTATTTAGTACTGTTATAAGATAAGTAAAAATCTGTAAGATTGACTTATCTTCTCCGAGGAACTGTCAACTGTTGTGCGAGGACCATGGGATCGAATTGGTGGATACCTGAGACGTCCTTGGTGGTGATATCTCTCAGATAATGGTTAGCAACCACCATATCAGATCTCCAGAAATAAACCCTCCATTATTTCAAATAACATTGTGTAGATCAATTGTAGAAGTTAGCTCTCTAATATCATGAGTATTAAAGCTCATGGAGGGTCGGATTAGGTCCATCCGTCTTGTATGCACGTAGTAAGACAGTTCTGATCCAAACGTAGATATAGTACGTGAGACTTTATTCTACGTAAGTTTATGATAGAGGAAAAAAAACTGTTGCATTTTTCCTTCCTGTTTGGTTCGGTGGAGATAAATTTACAGTGCTCTTGCTGGCCATCGTGATAGAATCATCGTATCATGGAGTCCAAGTATGTCATCCAGGCGTGTTCATAAACCTCACTTGTGAGGTGTTGGAGCACTATATTCAGATCCCCAAGTTGGAGTGTGAAACTTCCGTTTTAATTCTCCAATCAGAAAGCTTAAGTAGGTTTACTAACCATCTAGTTGTGTTAGTAGCTTGATGATGAAATTCAGCTGTAGTCTGAGACGCTGTGGATTTAGATCCACTTGTATCCCGTCGTCTAGGTAATTCGCTGCGAAGTCCTTGACGAGGTAGGTGCACAACCAGGTGTGTCTGTCCTCGTGAACTTTATGTAAAATCGCCTGACTGCCGTGCCCTCGTCTTAACTTCACAGGGGAGGTCTCTAACCTGAAGAAGGCAGTCTAATCATGAATGTTCAGGTTAACTGGACTGTAAGGAGGCTTGCTCGTTCACTGATATGTAGTTGTCACTTGTGACGTAAGTCTTGCACTGTGAACTAAGATCGACCTCTGCGTAGGTCGTTGTCCATCGCGGTCCAATCAGAACAAGGCATTTTAATTCTGTAGAATACCAGCTGTGATGTCACCGTGTAGCAGGAAAAACCTTGTATAAAAATCTCTCGCCGTTGATATTAGCATAAACGCCAGTCTTCACCGTGAGCTTCCCTCGGTTACCCGAAAGTGACCGGTGTTTCGAGGGTTAATGGTAAACGCGCTGAAACCTCCGCCTGCATAATACCTCGCCTGTAATATTAATGCTGGGTAGGTTATTTTCCTGGCTGTCATGAAAGTAACTTCAGTTTTGAATATAATTCGAATTTCCTTATATAAAGGTACAATAAACTTGCAAGTTGTCAGCTTGTAGACTGTATACATGAATGTATCGCCATAATTGTAGAATTAAAGCTGAACTTGTTGTACATATTTCTTCTCAGAACGTTGACGACATGAGTTACACTCGCCGTAACAAGGCTGCTGTTCAATTTCGATATTGAATTGTCTGCAGATATGCGTAATGGTCACGCATGTAGATAATCGTATCGTCGTCCGGGATTGCATATTCTAGCAATCATTACGGCATAGTTGATTTCTGTGAAGAATTATGAAACGTCGTTGATTAATTAATACAGCGACGTTCTGTGTTGTAAATAGCCTGTGCAATTGTCTTCGCGTTGGCTTCTAGACGGCATCTGGCATACAGTTGATAGACAACTTATGCGATGTCTTGAACGGCCTGACGAAAGTAGCTATATATGACGAAAGTGGCTAGTATATGGAGACCTTTGGAGGAGACTTCCTCGGTGAACGCCGGAGACTTCGTGGCTCGAAGCATCCCTTCTAGATCTTCTGGGTGAGGTAGACTTTGAGCCACTTTAGCCTTCGCTGACCTTCGCTGAAGGTATCGAAATCAAACCCGATTAGTATATATATATATATATATATATATATAAGAAAGAAGAAGAGTTTTGAATATTACACAACAACGGATCTAACCCCTAAGGAGAAGATCCGTGTTGTGTAATTATTTCAGAAACTTCTTCTTATATATGTACTACTGTACGCTCGGTATTCTCAACACTTTCTTTATATATATATATATATATATATATGAGCTTGCTTCATGAACGCTCCTCTGTGTTTAACAGGATGTGGTGTCGGCGGTTGCTTCTCTCATCCGCCAAGTCCCTTTGTAACTGGTGAGGCTCTAGCTCCTTTGCGGAGGCGGCCTGGGACTTGCTGGTTCTGCATAAGTAGGGCCGAGTAGATCATCCTATCATCTTCAGAAGTCGTGTTACGAAATCTGGTGATAAGTGTCTCATTGATCGTTCTAGATCTAATTAGGCCAAAGAACATACGTCTCGTCATGGCTTCAAACTGAACCAATTTCCGATCGTCATGAACTTTTTGTGGTTTACTGGAATGCTGCGTGTAGATTCTATGGTACCGCAGCAATCGGGTCGATCGGAGGTAGTGTTACAGCATCTGCATCGTCTTCTTTCATCAGGTATGTCTGCGCCGTATTGCCACTCTTGGAAGGTGATGAGAGATCTAAGTTGTTTACCAACCATATCGTATCTCTGCATCTGAGAAAATGATTCCTCCATCATCTTCTATTCCAGTATCATTGATGAGAGGTTGGTGCTCTTCTGATAGTGGACTGTGTGGCTCTATCTCTCTGTCGGGTGACGCTTGTGGAGATCTGGTTGTAGACTTGTGTGCAGACCTGTGCGGTGATCGACGTGGTGATATACGCGAAGTGTCTGTGAGTTGACCTTCTCGGAGACCTGTGAGGAGACTGTTGATAGCTTCGCGAAGCTCTTGAGTAGTCTTCCTTCTGGCAGATGACGATCTGGATTCAGGTGTCCTTCGCGAACGCCATCGCGAACGCTTTCGCGAACGCCTTCGCAAACGCCTTTGCGAAGCTTCCTCTGTGTCCGGTCCTGGGGAACGGTGATATGACCTTCGCGAAGGCTTCCGTGATGTCTGTTGGTCTGAGTCCGCATCTAGGGATGAGGTTGATGACGGTGATGATGTATCCCTCCTTCGCGAAGGCTGTACATCTGCGTCCTTCGTCGAGGTGGTCTGTGACTTCCTTCGCGAAGGCGGCATCGTCTTGGCTGCTACGTTGACTGGGGGTGCCTCTGGAGTGTTGTCTACGTTGGAGCCTTCGCGAAGGCTCGTACTCTGGGCTGGCTGCTTCTCCAGTCTGTAGTGACCCTCCATCATGACCATGATTTGCCGTAGCAGATCGTCTGGGATGGTCTGCGTCGACGTAGTCGGTGCCCTCTGTGCGTTGTCAGCGCTCAGGGAAGTCGTCTGACATCAGTGTAGAGACATCAGGCTGCATGGCGATCTCTGCTGATGTCATTGTAGCTGTCACCGGTCGCTTCTTGTCTCATACGTCGGGAATGATGATCGGCTGATCATCAGAGAGGCCCAGTTCAGCGGGTGGAACAATCTCGCTGAGAAAGTCCTAGTAGACTTCGTTGATTTCCCCTCAGAGGTCGACGCTGCCCTGGGGGTGCGAAGTCTGCGTTGAGTGTTGGTAGCGACGGGACGCTCAGGCAGATCATCGAATATCAGCGTTGGTACATCAGGCTGCATGTTGATCTGCGCTGATATCACTGTAGTCGACATCGGTCATCTTTTGATGTACATCAGGTATGATGATCGGCTGATCATCATACAGGCCCAAAACTGCGATGTGAACAATCTCGGCTGAGAAAGTTCTAGTAGACTTCGTAGATTTCCCCTCAGAGGTCGACGCTGCCCTGGGGGTGGGAAGTCTGCGTTGAGATGTAGTAGAAGCCCTCTAGTCTTCGGCTGCGACGATTGGATGTCTGGGGAAGCAGGACGCTTCTTGGAGGCGGCGGACTATGTCCCACGCCTCTCCACCACTCTAGCGGAAAACCAGACGGGAGGGGGGTCGACCAACAGCAGTAGACTGGCGAGGGGTTCAGTCATGCCTAGACTCTGCATACGCGACCTATCTGCTGTGCGTCTCAAACGCAAAGTAAATATTTATTAAAGGCAGAATTGGATAAATTAGTATCACAACTGCAATGTGAATAAAATGAACATGGCGCAGTACAACTAGGGCATATAAAATGCGGATCAGCAGCAGAATAAAAAACGTGATCTGTAATAGTACAGAATTTATATCAACGTAATCCACTGAAACAAACATGGCGTCCCGTAAATAAACAGTAGAAAACGACTCATTATCAATATATAATTGTTGAAAAATACTAGCTAAACCTCTATAGATGTCTATACGGAGGTAACTAAGTAAATATAATCAAAGGATATAGTGTGCAAGGAGACACAGGTGCTCTCACTGGGCGAAGAAGGAGAGAGTGAAGCACATGGGTGGAGGTGGCGCCCTCGTTCCCGCGCTTGTGTAAGGGAGGTAACTCGTGGTGAGTACTAATTAGTGATTTTACTTTGAAGGGAGCTTCAATTAGGGAGATACAAGTGTTCCACTATGTTCGCAAGAAGAAGAAGACAAGCAAAAGAGCATGAGTCAGGATAAGGAAAAATCTAAAGTTTCAGGGAAAATTGAGTTATTTTGAAGGTTTTAAGCGAGAAATCGCCACCTATATGGAAGTTTGTGACCTGTAACAACAAGTGTCATCAGTAGATAACAAATACCCCTGGCCGCCAAACAAACTTGAAAGAACAAATCATCTAACAGTTACTTAAAGCCCAACTTGATATTTTTAGACAAAGTCTGAATCGTTTCCATGGAAATTATGGAAAGGTGCAACAGGCTTTGTAATAATGAGGCTTTGTGCCTGAGAAGAAAGACTATTTTATAGGCCTTATCATAATCAAATCACAATTAGCTTGATTTGATGGTTGTGGAGATGTCAAAAATTGTAAACACTGATGACAGACAGAAACTAAACATTACATCACCTCAGTGAGTTGTAAACATATTCCTCACAGAAAATGCTCCTTGCAGATCACATTCGAACTTAGAATTTAAATTTGAAGCACTATTTCAGAGACACCATCGCTGGGGTCATCCATGCCAAATTTTATCTTCATAGTTATCTTTGTTAAAGATGAGATTAGTACAGACAGATGGAAAAGGTGAAATGCTACAATAATGTAGCTTGGATGTATCTAGTTAAAACATACCCAATATTAAAACGGGGTGAATTTTGATGCAGTGATTGGTAAAATATAATATCTAAAACTATTATGTTACCAAGAGAGATATATCCTTGCATTGTGTAATTTTGATAACAGGTTTTGCTCTATAAATGTAAAATATGCATAATCAACACTACTGACTGACTGAGTTTAGTTTTACGCCGCTTTTAGCAATATTCCAGCAATATCACGGCGGGGGACACCAGAAATGGGCTTAACACATTGTGCCCATGTAATCAACACTAAGGTTATATGGACCCTCATGAACATGGTAAGCGGAAGTTGGACGCACATAGAAAACGAGGTGAAATAAGCATGCCATTTCACACACGTTTATCTGTATAGATGATATTTTAATGTATACACAAAGTGAGACTATAATAAACTATCTGTCTGTCTTCACCGATGTTACTGTAAACTAGCGATCCATGGATGACGAGGTAGTAATCAGTTCGTGATTGTTGAGAATAATGTGAAATTGGAGCTATCTCGGTTGGAGTAAAAAGCATACCCTCATGAACATGTTAAGCGCAAGTTGTATGTGCATGGAATGAGGTGAAATAAGCATGACAGTTTGTTGACATGTGATTGTCCAACTACAATAAATATGACATTAAGAGAAACAAAATATATATACAGTGTGTATCCATTTACTGTCAACTACACTTCATTTTGCGACATGAGTGGACGCAATGTGATTGTGATTTCTGCGAATAATGCAGAGCCTAGTTATAATTATCAGTAACTACAAGTTGTCTTGGCCGCGATTAGGACCCCATCGCCGGGGTTGGTTTATGTATGAAACATACCATTTTGATACTGACTTTAAGGGTCAAGTTTGGGGGTCGGCTTATCTATGAGATCGGCGTATTTATGGTAATATATGGTAACCATGACTAGGCTGCAGATTACTTGTGTGTAAGAACTTCATTTTCACTAAATATTTTAGCATTTCACTCAGTAACTTCAGTCCCAGACAACTGTGTAAGTATTGTGTAAGACAACTGTGTGCAATACCGGAATGTATATATTTGTTGTGTGACCTCTGAGGCGTTCACTGCCTCTATATACATCTGTAGAAATGGTAGTTTACAAGTCAGTGGAAGTGGGAACAGCACCTTTAACCTATCAACAAACAGGCATTCAAAATATGTCAATTCTCAACGAGACAGCTGTGGGTTCATGAGCATTCATTCAAATCCTGAAATAAATTAAATGTTTTTCGGAAAGAAAATACGGGCCTTGACAGATTGGGTCAAGTGAGCCACAAAAGCATATGGTTGATGATTGTGATCTAAGCTCCATAAAATACAATGCTTCTTACCCATATCCTGAGCTTCTATTTTCAGTTCAAAAATCTTGTTTTCATCTGTTGGGGATAGTCTCTCAACTGTGATGTCACCAGTGATGTGGTTGATGCTGAACTTTCCTTGGCCTCCATCAGTGATGCTGTATCTTACCTGGCCATTACTGCCTTCATCAAGGTCAAAGGCTTGTACCTGAATTGAAGACGGTATTGTTATCAAGAGCACCAAGAACAGACACTGATGTTGACAGTAATAACAAGATGGCACATTATTGATGTCAGCAGGATTCACAATTAAACACATATACTAAACTTGGAGATGTTATATATGTAGGACTCGGATCCACGGCAGGCCTCAAATCCGTGGCGGATTTCAAAATCCATGGCAGATTTTCAAATCCATGGCTAGTTGCTATGAACGTACCTACCCTAATCTGTGGCGCATTTCCTGCACATCGTCATTAGAACATTTCACCTTTGTAGAAAAGGGGTTTATGGCATTTCATTTAGGGTGTGTTTCTAACTTACTGATACCCCTGGGTCTAGATTTTCGAAGCTCTGATAAGATCGTCTACATTTCATTTCATTCCATGTCTTTCCAAAATGTTTCTGCATTGGGATCTTTTGCTACAGGTTTCTTCTTCTTTTGTAGGTAGCTCCGTCCGCAATTACAAAACCATCATTTTCTACGGTTTCAATTTTCTAAGCTTTGAAGATTTTCCTGAGATTACTATCGCCAAGAATGGCTAGTGTCGAATAACGCCGGGGGAAAGGTTAGCGATTATGACGTCATCGTGTAATGATATAATTACGCGATGATGTCATGTAACAATCGAACAATCAAACCTGCCACGGATTCGGAAACCCGCCATAGATTAGAGACCCGCCACAGATCTGAGTCCTACATATATACAGTAATTTTGTTCTGTACTTTCTGAAAATTCTAGAGTACTGTCCCACTGCAAAGGTGAAATCAAGGTCAAAATATATCATTTTGCACCAAAAAAAAACCCAGAACATTAAATTAACTTGGATATTCACAATATTGATACATCTATACCTGTCCATACAAGACATATTGCATTTTTCTTCATTAAATAGATTACATAACCAAGAACTGTAAAAATGCATCAATGAATTCAAGAACAGGGCACGTGCTTCACTCAAGTCATTTTACTGTGAGGAGTTTTGGACATTTGAGCACACTGACAGTTAACAACGCAAGGCATCCCCATGTGAAATATCCATTCCTGTTGTACTCTGAACTTGAGGATGGTCTTGACCTTTGACATGACTGGTCAATGTCTCAAAAATGTTTTACACTGGGCCATAGTACACGATGATATCCTTCAGATGCCTGCAGCAGCAGCAGCAGCAGCAGTAATGGCCAAATTCAAGCCACAACTAAAAGCTGCATAAAGAAGAGGCATTTTTCTGTACAAATATTCATACTCCATGTTATATCAAAACTTCATTATTATATGGCAGATGCATTGCTTACCCTTTTCACTACTGTGTCATCAGAGGCATCAAAAGACACAACAGAATTGTAGGGCATGCCTACAAACACTGGTGCATTATCATTGATATCAGTCACAGTTATGATAACAAGACAATGCGCTAATCGTCCCCTGGTGTCTTTCACTTCAATAACAAGGGCGTGTAGTTTCCAACATGCTCCCTATCAAACGGGTATCCCAGTGTCTCAATAACACCTGACGTCATCTTGATTGAAAACATTGCTCTATTGTTTAACAGAGTAAATTCCAATGGTTCGTTTAATCTATGCCCAACAGCCATCACAGCTATCAGTACTTGAGAGGCTTCTTCTTGTTCTTGTATTGTAGCTTTGTACACATTTTTGGTGAAATGTAGACCTGTATCAACTGTTTTCTGCACAGCTATAATGACAGATGCTGTGGTGTCATATTTGGTATCACTAACTTGAACTGTTATATTATATTTCTTATCCATGTTCGTTTCATTTTCAACAAACAATTCACCAGTTTCTGAATTGATATTAAAATGATTCCCATGATTGCCATCCACGATGCTGTATGAAAGTGGAGCATTGACAGTTGTATCAGGATCAAATGCTGTTATATGAATGACAACGACATCCTTGTATGTTGGCAGGAGAACTGTTGACGTGAAGGTATGATTAGTAAATCTGGGTGGTGAATCATTGACATCTGACACATAGATGATAACTTGTGCTGCAATGTCAGCAACAAGGCTTGGTTGGCCTAAATCAGAAACTTGGACTGTGAAGTTATACATGCTCTTTGTTTCATGATCCAGAGAAGATCTGGTCTTGATAGCACCAGTGCTGGAATCAATGTCGAAGAAGGCTCTGATTCTTACATCTGTTATTTGATATTTTAGTCGAGAATTTGTTCCAGAATCTTTGTCACGAGCTTGGACAACAAGAGGAGATCCTTCTTTGGTAAATACCATACTATTAATATTTGCCATCTCACTTACATTTCCATAATATGTTTTTTGAAAGAACTCAGGCTTATTGTCATTTTCATCTGTAACGTGTATAACAACTGTTGCCGTTGATGTAGCTCCAACAATATTTGTGGCTGTGACTGTTAAATTAAACATGTGGTGTTGTTCATAGTCAAGAACCTCCTTTGTTGAAATAACACCAGAATTTGGATTGATCATCAACATATCGAAGTGATTACCACTTGTTATTTCATAAACTACAGAGGACTGACTCTCAGCTTGTACAACTAGAACAATATGACCAGCAGCCGAGTTCTCCTTGAGTTCAACAACATACTCAACATTTTTGAATCTGGGAGGGGAGTTATTTGACACAGTAACCGCAATTGAGATCCTAGCAGTTGAACTTAATGATGGAGCACCCCTATCTGTTGCTGTGACAACAAGTTCATATTTGGACTGTTTCATGCGATCAAGTTCCTTGGAAGTGATCAGAATGCCAAGTTTCTCATCAATGACAAATGATCCTCCAATGTTTCCTGCGAAAGAAAATAAACCAATTCACAATAAATGCAGAAACAAGTGCAGGCCACTTCAACTGAATATACTATAGTGGAAAAACACATGGAATTACTTTGAAAATCAGAAGCAGAAGTCCAAACCATCAAAATATTTTACTTTTCAAGATCATAAAATACACAATACATGAAGTGAGTTAAAATTTGACATAGCATCGGCAATATTGCAGCCATATAGACATGAGAACAATTTGAATAATAGTAAAAGTCTGTCTACAAAGGGCAGTAAAACAGTATGTTTAGTATCAGAGTCATAAAATACAGAATACATGTCATACTTACCAGCAGAAAAAAGTGACCATTGTCAATATTAAGCTCAGTAAAAATAATCAATTCTGAATTTAATTAATGCATGTTTCAAAACATTTATGTAGACATATCAAAGTTAAGGATGTAATTTTCAATTTGCATGAGCATATTCATGTGGAGCACACAATCTGGGTGCTTGCATACTTCCAAGGAATATGATATTCTCACATGATTCTTAAATGTGAAAAGCATACAATGATTGTTTTGTAATCAGGTGCTCATATATGATCTTTTGTTTATCTCAAATAATATTGCTTACAGGAATTGCATGAAAATTAGGAATAGCTTGAAAGTTGCCAGACATACAGTCCGTTTGAGTCAGAAACGGACCGATGAATTGCACATTTTATCATTGTACAAAATTGCCACATAAATATAAATAGTAACAGATAACAACTTTTGCGTTTTCAATGATGATAGTTTCTTAAACAACTTTTTTGGTGGAGTCCGGAAAATTTTCAAATATAAGAAAGCTGTTGGGTATTAGGAAATGATAAACATGTGTACTATTTATATTTATGTGGCAATTTTGTACGATGATAAAATTTGCAATTCATCGGTCCGTTTCTGACTCAAACGGACTGTAGTAATGTTCATCAAAACAAATCATCAGTTATTTACAGACTTGTCACAGTCGACCATCAACATATGACATTACATCAACAATAGGTCAATAGCATATAATTTTATATATAGCTTGTCAAATTCAGGAATGTGACTTTTCAGCTTGAGCTGCCGAGTCAAATGTCAGGGGAGATATTTTGATATTTTGAGTAACTCAAATTTGATTACCTGAAATGATTGAAAAGCATATCTCTGCATTTTCCCCTTTGTCATTGTCAACAGCTATGACCTGTAGCACCGATGTTCCAATGGCTGCAGTCTCAAACACTCGACCCACGAATGATTCAGACAGGAACTGAGGCGCATGATCATTGTGGTCAAGAACTGTTACATTAACCCTGGCAAAACTCTTCTTGGATGGAGTTCCTTCATCTCCCACCATGATAGTAAGTGTGTGATGTGAGAGAGCTTCTCGGTCCAAAGATTCTGCTACTTGTATTATTCCTGCAATGAATTGCATTAGAAATATATTTTTTCGAAATATTAAGCATATAACTCAGTCAAGTATACAAACAGAGAATTTCAGTCTAATCTGCCCATCTGTATACAAGAGTAGTTATTGAGCTATCAAAACAATAACATGGAATTGGGATTGGTAACTTTCTACTTCTGTGTTACGTACACACCAATGCCAAAGCCACAGGTAAAAAAAAAAATTTTTAAAAGTCCCTAATAGCAAAAGGCAGCAGATGATAACCTGGTTACCGTTTGTTCACAGCTTCATGGGAAAGTACCTATTACTCTTTCGAGATATGGTCCTAACAAACACAACTATAAAACACCATGGAAACAACTTAAATTTTGAAAAATTCCTAAATAGCAAAAGGCACCACTTCAGCCCTTGCTTAATACATCTACCAGGTCTGGGTGAGAAATCTCTGATGGTTTTCAAGTTGTGCTCGGTAACAAAATCCACCCTTCCTTTTTAAACCAAGTCAAAATTGTGTCCGTGGAAAAAATCCCCAAAATCTGCAAAACCAAAAGACACCATTTGAGGATCTGTTTGATATATTTGTCAAGTTTGTTGATAGATATTTAGCGTTTTTGATTCCAAAAATGAAATCCACACCTTTTGAGACTAAGTCCAAATTGTTTCCATGGAAATCCAGAAAAATAAAAATACCAAAAATCGGTAAAAAGCAAAAGGGATCACTTTAGGTTCTGTTTGATAAATCTACATTTCCATCTAAATAGATCCTGTGTGCCTGTCACGGCAATCACTTCTGTGGCCGAGAGAATTATGTTGATAGACAGTGATATTCTCTTGACCAAGGAAGAAGGCACTTAAGGGCATGAAATCCCACACCCAGAGATGAAGTGACATCAGACCGGTGACTGCTCGAGGCAGCAATGTAATAGTGGATGTATCTCAATCTTTCATAAAAAACTAAATCCTGGTGGCTAAATCCTGGGATAAGACTTTTGGAAGCTTGAGTCTATCGGCCATCAATTGAGGTATCAATGCTCTCAATACTGAACTCTGGAGTGAAGACATTGTCTGAAGGATACAAACTTAAATCCAAGCAGCATTGATGAGGAGAGGGCGAGGAACTCACAAAGGGACCACGTGGTCGGTGAAGTATAGAAGGTGGATCAGAATGCTGAGTTTCTTCAAACCAATAGACATGACTCAAACAATAACTTGGCAATCCAACAGCAGATAGGAGTCTTGCATACGGTTATCCCTTGAAACCGTAAGGATCAGCTGAAGGGGTATCACCAAACTTGAAACGAGGGATTACCAACTGTTGTGTGATCGACAACTGTTGTGTGATCGACAACCTTGTGGGCCAGGTGTGAGCGTAGGAGTGAGATGGAAGGCAAAGTTGATGGGCTTGTCAGGGGAGCAAACAAAAATACATCTGCTGTAGCAGGACAGCCGAAGCAGGAGGAATCCAGGGCGGAGGATGTGTACAGAAGAAGAACCCTTAAATAACTGTACCAGAGAATGTCAAAAGCGAAGAGATCACCGAACCCTGATAATTACAGAAGCCAATACAATGGGTCAGTGAACCATGAGGGTTCAGTAACAGTCAGTATTGGGGTTGGAGAATCAGTTGATGCATCAGCGGAACGGCTCCTGTTGAGATAGCAATCAGAAGGAGACACAAAAACAACATTTCTCTGCTTGGATTCGAAATCTTGTCAAGCATTGAACCTTCTTCAGGGAATACTTTGATTTTTCATTAGCTGAAGGACCAACTTCATTGTGTATTCATCTAACTTATGCTTATACTCTATCCTTGGCTCTTCTGGATACAGCTTTGTTTTTGAAAGTAACCTTGTCATCGTCAAGATGCTAACAAGCTGCACAGGGAATTCCTGATGCTGGAATACTTGTCTCTCTACTACAAGTAATAACACAGATCGTCCAACTTCACCCTTTCTGCTGGTGTGTTCCCAGACTGCTCTCAAACAAGCAGTTGAAAAAATTTAGGCATCTTTAGAAGAAAATGTTTCCAGACCTAAAAAATGTTGACACACAGTTCTCAAAAACTACAGGCCTGTTCTCCGGGACTTCACGCTTTCTCTCAGATTGTAGAAAAAGCTATCAATATAAGACTTCTGGAGCATTTGGCTGCACATGGTTTGTTGGACGAGTTTCAGTCTGCTTACAGGGAACATCACAGCACGGAGACTGCTCTACTATGTGTTGTTGATAAACTTATGTGTCAAGTCGACAGAGGGAATATGGCTACACTTACTCTCTTGGATCTGTCATCCGCATTTGTGGATCATATGCTATGGTCATTTCTCGACCAGAGACAACAGACTGTCATCCTAGGTCATGAGAAAGCTGAACCCACAATCTTCAGATACGTGAGAGGTGCTTATCCTTGAAAAGCTCTATCAGTAATAAGTGATGGAAAATACTAGTTTTTTCAGTAGTTCAGCAGACCTGTCAGTAATAGACTATAATGGGTTTTTTCACATTGTATGAATGGAATTTTTTTTTAACATATTAAACATACAAATAACAAAAAGTAGTCTACCAACCTTTTAATTTCTATGAAAAAGCATCATGAAATCCTTCCCGAACCTCCCTGTGATGATTTAGTATCTGTGATTGGCACAGTGAAGAGATTCCACGAATCACGGAATGGGAATAAATTACAGGATTTTTGATGATGAAAATCAAAATGTTAAAATTTAAACATCTTAATTTAATGTATCAGTCACTTTTTGGTCATGTTTCGTCATGCTAATCTTGAAGATTGTATCGGCGTACAGTAGTCAATGAAATCAGAATGACAAAAACTGACTGACTGACTGAGTTTGGTTTTACGCCGCTTTTAGCAATATTCCAGCAACATCACGGCGGGGGACACCGGAAATGGGCTTCACACATTGTACCCATGTGGGGATTCGAACCTGGGTCTTCGGCATGACGAGCCAACGCTTTAACCACTAGGCTACCCCACCGCCCAGAATGACAAAAATATCCACCAATCAGAGAAAAACACTGGGGTGACCTAGTCCATTTGCATAGCGGAATTATCTGATCTTTGCCGACCTACTTTTTGACTAATGAAAGCAACAGTTACCACTCGTAATACTTCGTAGAAGGATAGCTCAATATATCAACCAATGAAATCCTTCGCTTCGAAACCTCAAGATTCACTGTATAGCCATATGGTTACAGGAAGTTTACTAACACGAAAAACATCATGAATTGTTGTAATGTTGATTCTTGGTGAAAAAAAATGTTGTTTGGTGAGTAATATTGACAACCAGATAGCTCCAGATATAAAACTACACACCAGAAGGACCATTAACTTTGTTAAGTAATATTTCATGTGCCATTAGGTTTATAACTAATATGTATCTGAATTTGAATTTTGATAAGGAATTGTAAGATCCCTGTCCACTATTGTAATTATAATTATGGAGAAATCATAAGGATAGGCACCTCTGGATGTGAAGTCCCCCAAGGCTGTTCTTGGCCCAAGGCAGCACAACCATCAGCAATATGTGGATGATACCTAGCTCATTGATGGATTTGAACCCACAGACATATCTGAAGCATTGCTGAAAACCAACAACTGCTCTACCCAAATCAAGTCCTGGATGACAGAGCAATTACAGCTCATTCTAGCACGACATTGTGTGACACTCAATTCTGATTGGCTGAGAGCTCATCAAAACCGTTCTTAAATGGCAGTTTAAGACCGCTAATTAAAGTGACCGATTCACCACGTATGAATACAACAAACTCGTTGACCCTATTGTTTGTAAACAAACATGTCGGACATCTGCAATTTCTATCTCGGCAGCATCTTTGGTGTTTTTGAAGTAAAAAGCGAATGCTTTGAAGAAGAATTTCTTCACCCTAATCCCAGTGAAGAAACTACGAAGCTGGAAAATCCGTCAGCAGCTCAAAAGCGGCATTATATTCAAACTGGGTCCAGATCTACGTGTGTTGACGTCGACAACACACGTCGGCCCACACGTCCTAACCTGACCGCTTCCGTCCCGGATGTAATGCCCAGTCCTTCCACTTCCACTGTCCGTGTATCCCACATAAAACGAGGCATGTCAGGTCTTTTCCAAATTGGGAATAGTAGGGTGGTTATCAACAATTATTTCCGTGAATAAAGTTAGCGGCGACTAAACGTAGCGAGTTCACGGCTTGAATTTGGACGAGTCGATTGTCATACAGTAGGGGAGATCAATAATTCGCTTGAGAAAAATCAAATAATTGTATGGCTACTTGTTACAAATACAAGCATACTGGTTCCTGAAATAAAGCAATTATGTTGTTGAAAATGTCTTATTTTGTTCATGACACACCCTGTCCCTCAACGGGACGATTCCAAGCGATTCCCAGGAAAAATGCCCCTTCGTGCCTTGTGTTCTTGGGCGCCAAACAGTTCGGTTTTAAATCAGGGAAGTCAGCAGTGCTTCTTTTCAAAAGGCTTCAGAGGATACAAAATATGGCAGCACGTATTGTATCAAAAGCATCAAGGACATCCCACATTATACCAGTTTTGATGGAGCTATATTGGCTGCTGACAAAAAACAGGACACATTTCAAAGTCTTGTCTCTAACCTACCAGTGTTTCTATGGACAGGTACCAACATATCTATGCAACCTGATACAGCCCTACAAACCAAACATGGTTCTATGGACACAGGACTCACAGCAGCTGGTAACTTCACCATAAAAACTTAAAACCTATGGCTACAATATACCCTTCAGCACAGGTGGCCCTCGACTATGGAATGATCGTCCTCAGGACTGCCACTGGCTTAGACTCTTTCAAGTTCAACCTCAAAACATTTCTGTTCAGGAAAGCATATTCCTTGTCACAAATTTGTTGTGCTTTGAGCATGCACTAGTGCATAGAGTCTAGCACTCCAGAAAAAATGTATTATTATTATTTTACAGATTAAGATGAAAATGCAGCAGAGAGGGTTCGGGTGATCCTGGCATAATCAGGCTGGTAAGGCTCATCATCAGCTCAGGGCCCTCGCCCCTTCTACACGCAGCCCAGACAGCGAATGGGACTTCTCCCAGGAAACGCTGCCTAGTCGAACCCACCAAGAACTTTCCGGAGAATATGTAGACTCCCCAACACTGCAGCCTTCTGCATTACCCAGAGTGTAAGAAGGGCTGTGCTGACAGTGGAGAACCCGGCACTCTCCTGATCTGCGCCAAGAGATCAGGTGGTACCAAACCAAGGGCACCGAGAACAATGGGGAGCCTGACGACAGTGTACTTGGGATGGAAGTGAGACATTTCAAAGGCGAGGTCCACATACTTAGCATGCTTTTCCTGAATCTTGCCAATCACACTGCTGTCAAAAGGGACAGAAAAATCAATGACATAAATAAATTCATTAGCTTCATCAAAAAGAACAAGATCAGGTTTGTTGGCTGGAATTCTAAGGCTGTATATGGGCCTATTCCTCAGAAGATTGAAAGCATAATTTTCCTTGATGCCCTGGATATGTTCAGGGTCAGTCCATGGATGGACCCCAGAGTCAAAGCCACAGGCATGGTGGGGACAGTAGTAAAAGCAACAAGCCATGCCATCATGTCGTTTAAGATATGCTCTTTGTGCCAAAGAAGGGCAAAAGAAGGGCATCCACTCACAAGGTGTTTGACAGTCTCTGTAAATTCATTGCAAAGTCAGCATTTCATATTAATATTTTCTTTAAGAATCACATTTTGGCGATTGCAAGTGGGAAGTGACTGTCCTGGGCAGCAAAAAGGAAGCCCTCAGTTTCACATTTAAGACCAGCCAACTTCATCCAGGCAAAAGAGTAGGTGGGATTGCTATTCTGTTCCACACACTGCATATATACATGATGCAGTGGTTTCTCAGAAAGCTTAAGCTTCTCCACAAATGACAGATTCTGGGCAGACTTGGTGAATGACTGCACCTGGTTTACTCACATCGCTGTTCCATTCAGCAGTACATCGCCATCAACCTCAAATTTCAGATTGTGTCCAACAACCTTGGCATGCTTAAAATAGCTGTGGAATTCCTTGCTTTCATAATGAGTTTTGACATGCATTATCAGAGGATCATCTGACAAATTAATATGTGCAAAAGTACACAACAAAATCCTATCATAAAGAGCCTCCACATTAATCAAAGCCCGGCCTCCAGAATTGATTGGCATATATACACGATTAAGAGAGGAACGAGGGTGGTGGGCTCTGTTATCAGACATGATCCTTCTGGTCAGGCGGTGAAGACTCTGGATATCTTGTTTTGTCCAATCAACTACTCCAAAGGAATAGGAAAAGACAGGCACACCAAAAGTGTTTGTGGCTTGACCTTGTTTAGCTCAAAGCTCCAGATTTTCTTTGAGCAAGATTTATACTCAGCCCGAAGTTTGTCTTGAATCTGGACATTCTGAAGCTTGTCTCGAACTTGGATTCCAAGATAGGTGTAGGCCTGATCTTCCACAAGATGCTCAATAAATTATTATTATCATTATTAAGAAACAGATTGACATGTCAAAATCATTGTAATGGTTGAACAGAAACAGAAGCCTGTCATGACAATAGATGAAAAGGGCAGTATACAGAAAATAATTGGTAGCCATAAACAGACACTTCTACTCTAGGCTGATAGTCATGCATGCTTACCACTTTCTGGATGAATTTTGAATTTCTGCATGCTCACAGTACTTCCTGCTGAAGACAAGGTGTAGAAAAGACGCTTGTCTTTATCCCTATCAGTTGCAAACACTTGTAGCACATTAGTATTCACTGCTACATTCTCAGATATTTCAGCATTATAAAATTCTTCAGAGAACTCTGGTTCGTATTCATTGTTGTTAATTATACTGATGTGGACCTGCAACAGAAATTACATATGTATAATGAGAATCACTAGTGGGTAAATCAAACAAATATTACAATGTGCCTGGGTGAGAAAAACGCTTGTCACATTTTGAATCACTAATGGGTAAATCAAACAAATATTACAATGTGCCTGGGTGAGAAAATTGTCACATTTTGAACTCGAAGAATCAGTAGAGAATACCATGGTATAGCAGATATTGGTTCAAAACAAGGATTTGGTTGTTGTTTAACGCCCAAACCAAACCCAATCCTTGTTTTTAATCTGTTGAGATTTCAGGATTCAAGTCTCACTAAGCCGGAAAACTGCAGAGAGAGCACATTCAGGACATGAGACCACTGTCCCACTGGAGTGGCAAGCCCTGTCACCAGACATCCATTTAATTTAATTGGCTTTCAAATAGACAAAAAAAAGTACATACTGGCACACATGAGCTGTACACCCCGTCTGTTGCACACACTGTAAGGTTGTAGCTTGGATGAGTTTCCCAATCAAGGCCACCTGCCACAAACAGGGTGCCATGCTGAGGTTGAACTGCAAACTTGTTATCTTGGTTACCATCTGAAAATATACATAAGACATATACCAATCATAGAGATGCGAATCCAACGTGACTTTTCCACATTCAGAAATGTTGCATTTGGGCCCAATAGTTTGTCTCAATACGTCGAGTGCAGTTTAGAATGTCAACCACCCAATCAACCAAAGTTTATATCAGGATCAATACTGTAAATTCTGTAATTATCATCAAACCCGGCAAAAATTTTTGTATCATTACCCTACCTTATCAACTTTACCCTAAACAGCATACAAAACACCAAGTTTTATGATGTAGTGCAGGGTTCAATTCAAGGAACCCTATTATGACCTTTTAAAATCAAAACCATAAACTAAAAAAATGACTAAATACGAGCAAATCCATTTTGCAAAACACCAAGACTGAGCAAATATGATGCAAATGGCAGATACCTATTGTGCAGTTTGGCAAGATTTCTTGATCAATTGTGCAAACAACCACTCCTGAGTAAAACACATCTGCACAAAATTTGACAAACACTTTAAAATCTACATACAAATCACAAGGCATGCCAAACTATGGAAGAGAGTGAACCTCTTTTGTGACACTGACAGAGGTAAAATATGCTGTACATTTCCCAGTGATGTCAATGGTTATACAGGGAATTTCCCATACTATATCAGAGGTACAGATAAGCTGAGTAAGTGCGTAAATTATGCAAATATTTCTGTGAAAACTCAATTCCTATTACATTCATTGCGTACAAGTACACATGACTTTTTGCAAATACCCAATAAATGTGATCTTACATGTGTACACACAAAAATGTAAAATCTTAGCTTGCGTAGCGGTGGATAGATAAAATAACAGGTATATTCAGAGGTTCTATTTCAGGAAATGATCTTGGCAACTTAAGAGTCTTTCTGATTGTTTCTCATATTACAGATCAAATACAAATAACAAACACTAACATTTAAACTTTATTACATATTTACGGTTAATGGAAAATGGCAAATACCCAATTGAGTTTGAGTGAGGTGAGTACAATTTGTCTGGCTACTCAAAGGAAAATTAGGATAATATTTGCAAGATAAACAAAGGAACAGCAATTTATGATCAATAAATTGAGAATGTAAATTCAGTATTATCCCCCATGCGATGGATATCACAAACAAGAGTCATTAGAAGACAATCCTCAGGACCCCTACAACTTCAAAAGAACAAATCATCTTATGCTACAAGAATGAACTGTTCAACCCGATGAGAGTATTCCTATCAAATGTTCCTGGTTAGAATATTGGCCTTCAGTAACCCATGCTTGTCGTAAGAGGCGACTAACGGGTGTTAATTCACCTCCATAGTCAGGCTTTATCTGTCATGACTTGTATACACGCCACTTGACCGGAATTACCCATAAGTCATAGCTACGCGGTTCCCAATTCATAGCAGACAGGGATCGATGGCTCATGTTGTTGATCATCGGATTTTCTGGTCTGGACACTGATTGTACTGACTTGATTTACAGACCGTCGCCATATAGCTGGAATATTGCTGAGTGTGGCATAAAACTAAACTTACACCTATTAAATGTATCTGTCCAACTGATACCATGGAATACCATGGAGCTGAGATTCTGTAGTTCCCATTTGCAACTGAGGTCCGTGTTTGCAAATATGAATCAGTAGATGTCACACAATTGGTAGAATATGCATTTAGATGAATAAAAATACAAATAATAATGTGACACAAAATTATGATACCATATGAAAAAAACAAAGGTGTAACAAATAAGTGGACTTCTGTCAAGAAGTAAAAACACCAGTTTACACTTTCGTCACTGTGTGTGTATGAAAGAAACCCTGTAGCTTTATTTTATTAGTGTTTCTGTTTAACACAGCACAAAGCAATATTCCAGCTATATGGTGGGGGTCTGTAAATAATCGAGTCTGGACCAGACAATCCAGTGATCAACAACATGAGCATTAATCTATGCAAACCAAGTCAGCAAGACTCACCACCCGATCCTGTTGTAGTTTTTGAGAGATGCTACGGGAAAACATACCTTTGAACTGAGTCAGAGTTAAACTTATCAACAAGAAAATGAAAAACATATAAAATTCTAAAACTCCCTTAAATATCAAAAGATACCACTTGACAAGCTAGTTTTATTGTGTGCAAAGAACAAACAGTTTTAGAGATATGGTCCAGACAACTGGAGCTTCATTTGAAGGCATCAAAATAGCGGTGGCACTGTACACGTCCCAGACTTCATGCAGGTGAGCACACATTATCTAATGGCAACTGCAAATGAGCTTCATAGGAAGTATCTGGATTTTGGAAATCATTATCATCCACCTTTCCAACAGATGAGGAAGTTCAGCCTGGCAAGGATTACATGTTGGAACTGTGGTGGCAGATTTCCTTCTGCAATCTCAGACATGGCACTATTGAGGGGTGGCAATCTGCTGTAACTTACACAGCAGAATGGACGACAACTGCTGTGTAATGCAAGTATGTTCTGCAGCAAGACATTGATTCTAACAGATTTAGAAATATTGTGGAAAAAGTTAGTTGCTTATTTCAAACTTGTCAATATTTTGGTCCTACACAATTATGCAAAAAATATTAAAACACTGCTGGCCCAACTTTGGTTTTGTGGTTGTTGACATTTCAGTGAGCTACTCTGATTTGTTGGCATTAGGGGTGACTATTGAGGAGAAAACAACTATTGCGATAACGATAGTCTATTGAAACATACTATTGCAACAGCAATAGTCTATAGTGACCAACTACTGCAATACTATTGGAGTAGTTTTTTTCTCCTTGAATTTTCTCATTTGAAGTCATTTCCCAAATGAATGTATAGTTCATATGAATTGAACACAAGTTAAAGTAGTTTCAGTCTATTTTATTATTTAATAACTGACAAGAAACTTGAAACCCAGATCAAGTAAATAGTTAAAACATAAACTCAATGAAGCTGTAAGTCTGCACTCTAAATGAAAGAGAACGAATCTGGTGCTTCCTTATTTTTGTGCTGTGCATTTATCAAAGGAAGTCAATTACTAAACTATCTATAGTCACACAAACTATCGATGCATCGATAGTTTTTCATTTCTAAAGTAGTTTCTAGCATCGATTAATTGCTATCGGTGACTCAACAATTGCAATGCATCGATAGTTCGATGCATTGTTACAGCCCTAGTCAGTATATCATGTTTGAATATTGAACTTTGGTATTCTCCAACTCTTTTTACACTAAGAAGTTTGCTTATTCCAGGTGATCAAAACATATGACATGAAAGCATTTCAATAGATTCGAGACCAAATAAATGTAAGGATCTTCATATTTTCAGTTTATTTAACACAAGATATTCACTAGTGTTTTGCAGCTATAATCAGATGGTAAAAATTGTGCACTAATTTAAGTGACATCTGTTTATGTTTATACAAATGGTGCACTCTTCACAAGCATCTTTCCCCGCATCATACATATAATCACATCTGCATGAACGTAGTTGATATTTCCACTGGGTAAATATCAACATCTTTGCTAAAACATTATAACGTATGGATGTATACAGTTTCAGGTACTTTGCCATATTTACAGTCAGATTTTTATCGTTACCCATGGTAAATGGTTAAGCTTTCCTCCTCCATTTAGCTGATGAGTTGTTTTTACAGCAGTTAGTGTGGTGTGGTGTGTGCACACAAGGGTGTGAAGAAGTGCAAGAAAATAGTTTATGTTGGAAAGGATTTTTTACAAAGAATAACATTCCATCAACAGAAGTGTTGGAATAGAACTAACAGACATGGATTTTTGCTTAGCTTTGATCTCTTGGAGATATGAGGAGAATAATTTAGATTTTGACATACTAGTAGTAGAGTAAAAAAGAACATTCTGCCCCCGCCAGCTGTGAAAGGTTGAAATAGTTGAAGTTTTAAGGAATTGTTTGTGAATGAGTGAGTTGAAATAGAGGATTTGTGTGGAATGCCATGGCAGGGGCGCAACGGAAATGGAATTGTACCCATGTTCCAAAATGCGGATTCGGTTTTATGCCACTTTTAGCAATATTCCAGCAACCCGGGTCTTCAGCGTGACGAGCCAACACTTTAACCACTTGAGAATATCCAAGTGAAAATAAGAGTCATCAAAAGATGACAAATCCCCCCTGCCACCAAAAATTTGAAAGAACAAATCATCTGATTCTGACAGTTAATTAAAGTCTAACTTGATATTTTTTTACATTGAACATTTTTCGAGTTGTGCTCCGGAAACGATGCCCACACCTCCAAAATGTTTCCATGGAAACCAAGAAAAATAAAATGACAAAAACCTGCAAACAGCAAAAGGCACCACTTTAGGTTCTGTTTGATATATCTAACAATTTTTGTTGAAAAATATTGAAAGTTTTTTTAGTTATGCTCTGGAAACAAAATGATTACGGACGGACGGACGGACAGACTGACGGATGAGGCGTCGACTATATCCGCATTACATGCCACGGGGATAAAAATTCTCTTAAGATCATTATTTAACATGTCGTAAGCTTCGTTAGGATTGTCTATCATTACATATAATGAAGTATCATCAGCAAATAATTTAATGTGCATATTGGTGCATATTACTGTATGGTCTTAATGGAAGTTCCAATGTTTGAGAATAGTACTAGTGAAAAACATATAATGATAATGATAATCATGTCAATCTAAGATGGGATTCCGATTTTTAAACTTTGACAAATGTTGAAATGGGTTTTTTTTCAAAATAAGTCACATGCAGGTAGGGTGTATGCATCCACTTATTTTATGATTGAAATGGGACAAAACTTAGCATGCATGATCTTTTAGTTGGGGACCTAATAAGATCAAGTTCACAAGAGTCTTATTATGAAGTGTGGCTCAAATTCGATGACATATTACTTCACCAGAAAGAATTTCTTTAGTCAATTGTCATAGTCTGAATAAGTAACTCCTGTGTTAGTCAACTGATCTTTATTCATGATCGTTATAAGGCCTTTGGCCTATTTCATTGTAACCTATG